ATATATATATACGTAAATATTTATATACATAAAATATTTATATATATAAAATATATACATGTTTGTGTGTTTATATACATAATAAATACAGTACACACAAATATTATGAAAACAAAACTTTTATTTTGGATGCGATTAATCTATGTATCTATCTATATAAAACATTTTATTTAAAATTTTATATAATATATATATATATATATACAATTTTAAATAAAATGTCAATTTAAATGTAAATTTAACAAGAATTAATACATTTATAATAAACTTATATTACTTGTAAAATATTATCATTAATTATTTATTATATAAAAAAGTATATACATAGCTACACATTAAATGTATCATAATTACAAATTAATACATAGATATATAATTGTAATTAAATATAACATAATAGTACTATAGTGCATATATATATATTATTATATTATTTAGTAATTAAAAAATATAATATATATAATAAAATTGTAAGTAATCCATTGAAAGCACACGGAGAAAGAAAATCTGTTAAACATTTGGAAGAATATCAGAACCACATATATAATAAACAATTAATGTAAAAACACTTTAGCTGCTACAGAGAGACACTGTGATGGTATTTAATAATTACTATATTAATTTTTCAAGGCATTTACATGGAATTTCTAAATACTTATAATAATACTATGGTACATCTCGGGGGAGAAAAAAAACATGGTGTTACCAACAAAATACATGACAACTGTGTTTTTTGTTTTTTTTTGCGTAAACTTTGTAAACAATATCTGTGTTTTGAACTGTGCATAACTGATGTAATAACGCAGTAATACTGCTATCTGAGCTTGGCGGTGAAAATATGAGTGTGTTTACAAACAGAGATGACTACACCCCCCCTCTGATCATACACACCATCAGCGATATGATCAATATCGACGAAACATAAACATAAACGCGTTATTTGATCAGACTCTTCAGAAATAACAACATCAGTGACCGCCAGCAGCGCAGAGAGTGCTGGACACCAGGCGAAATAAACGCCTGATTTATCATATGCAGCCTTTGCAAAAGCCCACCGTTGCCATCCCACAAGAACGACTGATATCCTAACATATGGGAGAGGATAGAAGAAGTGCGGAAATGTCGACCAACCTTCGCGATTTTGTCGAAATGTAGACAGAATTCAGCACTTTTCGCAGCTCTCCGTCGCCATGTTTGGGTCAGAACTGCGCATGCGCAGACGCGGGGCAGCGTCGCGTGTCTCGCGCATACGCACGCAGTATTGTGAAAACCTATTGCTCTGTTTATTAAAACGAGTGGAATCGTAAGCATTGTTTAAATCAAGCTTATTATCAGTATTATTTAATTAATAATTAATTAATTGATGTCATAACGTCATAACGTCTGCGATTTACTAGGACAATTTATTTATTTGATTTATTTTATTTATTTTATTATTTTATTTATTTATCAGATTATCAGACGCTTTTATCCAAAGCGACTTCAAAAATGAGGACAACAGAAGCAATCAAT